GTTTGTATCACCACTGCGCCACTTTTTGGGTTAGATTCCCATAATCCCCGGACCCCCCGGGCGCGTTGGGCGGGTTGGGGGATTGTGGGGGTTGGAGGCCCACTCATCTTAAAGTGGCCAAGTTTGGACAACACTGGTTTAATTGGTTTCCCTGCACATTGCAGAGGTTGGACTAGGATGATCTTTGTGTCCCATTCAACTCTATAATTCCACAATTCTTTGCTAGCACTTAAGCAATAAGCTGCCTGGAGGGGAAATTCCTCGAGATGTAAAATATTACATTCCTCATCCTGGTTTTACACTAAGTTGTGATTTTCATTGTTCCTTGTACTACACCTAGCTATAAGCGCATGACAAATACTACACACTCCTATTCTAAGTGGACTAGCAAGGCCAGCATGCTTGTAGTTTCAAAGTAAGAGTGGGTTCACAAAATACGCCCAGCCCTGGTTAGCTTTTTTAGCTCGCAGTGACTGGGTTCACAGCAAGCCCTGTGGTCTGTTGCCTTTGGCCCAGTGTGTTGTGGGACGTACAGTTTAAAAGACACCAAAGTCTTTGTAGCTATATTCTGAGTATCGGATACATCATCCCCATCCATTAAATCAGTCCCTTTATGACGCATCATAGAAGAGAGATCACCTACTTTCCAACTCTCTTCTGCTGCTATTGTGGATGTAAAGCTGAAATAACAAAAGGCCCTCCCTTTGGGACAGGCTGGGTTAATTACCCACAGTCTTGTTTCCAGGGTCTCTGGGAAGTTCTTATACCTTCTGATATAATTATATGAATATATATGGTAGTCCTTCGGGTTCGAAGAAGACACGCTGTTGTGCAGTTCATCTGTGGACATGGGGGTGGCTCTGCAGTCCCAGTCTGGAAACGCAGAGTCTAGCACAATGGAGGCACTGGAAGTCCATTGTTGTGGTAACTGGGTGTTCTTCTGTAACACTGCTCACAATTTTCTATCAGTTTTTGGCAGCGCCTATCTTCAAAGCTGGCGGAGGCTTCATAGCAGAGGGCTTGCCAGCAGGTTCTGTCAGCAGCTGCAGCTTCTAGTTCCCTTGGCTGGATGTCACAAGGGCATAGGGTTTCTTTCACAGCGTCTGTAGCACTTGCGTGGTTGACTTCAAGGTCTCTTCCCAGACTCCAGTACGCAATAGAGCAACTGGCGAGGCATACGGTGGCCATTCATTCTGATGACGTGTCCCACCCACTGCATCTGGGCTCTGATAATCAGGGACTCAATGCTGGTGGAGTCCGCATGATCCAAAATCTTCAGGCTGGAGACATGGTCCTGCCAACAAATGCCAAGGATGGAGTAGAGAGTGTGCATGTGAACTTTCTCCAGTTGTTTGATGTCCTTTCGGTACAGAATCCAGGATTCACATCCATATAGGAGAGAAGGGATAACCACAGCTCCGTAGACTTTCAGCTTTGTGCAGATACAGATGTTGTGTTGATTGAACACTCTGATACACAGTCGCCCCAGTGCCTTGCTGATCCTGGAGTCAATTTCTTTGTCCAAAGACCCATCACTCGAGATGATACTTCCCAAGTATTTGAAGCTGTTTACATTTGTCAGCGGAGTGTCGTCAACTGATTTTTGGTTTTATGGGGTTGGTGTTTGGCACCAGTTGGTAAAGTACTTCAGTCTTGTTCAGACTGATAGTCAGGCCGAAGAGCACAGCAGCATCAACTGTAGATTGCTGACTTTGCGTGCCAGGAGCACACAGTCATCAGCAAAGAAAGTTTCTTGGATAACTTTATGGAGGCACTTCGTTCAAGTGGCAAAGGTCAAAGAGCGAGCCATTCAATCAGTACCTGATATATACTCTTTCCTTCAGACCCTGGACAGCATGTGACAACATGCAAGTGAAGAACAGATTGAACAGGACTGAGGCTTGTTTTACCCCACTGGAAATGGGAAATGCAGCTGATGTATCACCGTTGTAAAGAACCTGTCCTGTCATTCTGTTGGGGAATAGCTGAATCAACTTCATGAATTTCCTTGGGCATCCATAACATCTCAGGTTCATCCAGAGAGCCTCCCTGTTTACAGTGTCAAATGCTTTTGTCAGGTCAATGAAGACAGAGTAAAAAGTCTGCTCAATGACTTCTCTCAGACTTGCCTCATGGCAAATATCATGCTTGCTGTACTCTGTTCTGGCTGAAAGCCAAACTGCGCCTTTGGGAGGTTTGTTTCCATGACAGTGACAACTCTTTCAGGAGAATGCGGGCAAAAATCTTGCCTACAATGGATAGCAGTGAGATCCCCCTGTAGTTTCTGCAGTCTGATTTGCTTCCCTTATTTTTGTAGAGAGCCACAACAAGGGCATTGTGGAAGTTGTCAGGCATCTCCTCTGTGGACCAAATGTCTTCCAAGATTCTTGGAACGCCTGTAAGGCGTTTGGGTCTAGTGCTTTATAGATCTCAGTAGGAATGCCATCCTGTCCTGTTGCTTTATTTGAGTTCATCTGTGAGATCACTTTCTTGAGCTCATCAGTAGAGGGAGGCAGGTCTAGAGCATCCAAGACTGGCAGCTGAGGAACCTGCTGTAAGACATCATGATCAACTGTGGACGCCTATTGAGTAGGTTGGAAAAGTGTTCAGCGGTTTTTCAGTCCTTCCTGGTCTTTGATCAAGCTTGACCCACCAGATGACAGCGGGGGTGGGGGGAGGATCCTGATTTAGAAGGACCATAAACTGACTACGGTGCTGAAGAACTCTCTGGTGGTATGCATGTCTGCACAGAGTTCCACCTGCTCAGCCTTTCTCTGCCACCACTCGTCCTGCATTTCTCGCAGTTCCATCTGTACTTTGGACTGCAGGTGCTTAAACTTGTCTTTCTTTGAGAGAGATAATGGATCGTTCTGCCAGTCTGCATAGGCCGTGTTCTTGGTCTGGAGGGCTGCAGAAATGGCCTCGTGGTTTTCATCAAACCAGTCTTGATGCGCCCAGGTTCTCAGTCCAAGTATAGTTGTTGCAGTCTGCATAACGACATCTTTAAACTCTGTCCACTTTTCAGAACAGGTTCCTACAAGTGATAAAGTGCCGGAGAGTTTTCTATTAAGTACATCTTGAAAATGTTGGACTTGGCCTGGGTCTTGCAGTTTGCCGATGCTGAATGACTTTCTGACAGTCCTTGGTTGCTTACGATGTAAAGGGGCTATGTTCAGGTTGGGGACTGACCAGATGAGCCTATGATCTGTCTAGGCCTCAGCACCTCGCATGGCTCAGGTGATGGTGATGTCTCTAAGGTCCCACTGACGTACTGTGACATAGTCAAGTAGGTGCCAGTGTTTGGACCTGGTTGCATCCAGGTAGTTTTGTACTTATTTGCAAGTCTGAACATCATGTTAGTGATGCACAGGTTGTGCTCAGCACATTTGCTCAGAAGCAGCAGGCCATTGCTATTTA